AACTCCTCCAATGAATTCTACCAAACACTAAAGGAATACCTATACTTCTTAAACTACTTCAAAAAATTGAAAACAAAATATTCAGCTGAATTCATTCTACAAAGACAGCAATACCCTGACATCAAAACCAAAGGCACTACAAAAAAATCCACACAAATATTACAAACCAATATGCCTGAGGAACATAGATGCAAAATTCAACACAATATAACCACACTGGATTTAACAATACATAAAAATATCCCTAGCCCTAACCAGTTCGCTCAGTGGATAGAGCATCGGCCTGCGGACTAAAAGGTCCCAGGTTCAATTCCGGTCAAGGGCATGTACCTGGGTTGCCGGCACATCCCCAGTAGGAGGTGTGCAGGAGGCAGCTGATCAGTGTTTCTCTCACATCGATGTTTCTAACTCTCTAGCCCTCTCCCTTCCTCTCTGTAAAAAATCAATAAAATATATATATTTTTTAAAAATATCCCTAGCCAGTTTGGCTCAGTGGATAGAATTGGCCTGCAGACTTCAGGGTCCCAGGTTCAATTCCAGTCAGGGCACATACCTCGGTTGCAGGCTCAATCCCTGGCCCTAGTTGGGGCACGTGCAAGTGGCAATGAATCAATATGTCTCTCTCATATCAATGTTTCTCTCTCTCTCTTCCTTTCTTTCTAAAATCAATAAAATCATTTCTTTAAATTAAAGGCTATAATACTGCAGACCATCAAAACCCTCCAAATCTTTTTCTGATAAAACAGACAAAATGCATTCTAATATATTTTACTCTGAAGATATTTATATGAGTGCCATATTATAATGCATGTGGGGTTTCTAATTAAACCCCTACCCTGAAATGAACTAGAAATTCCAAAGATTTCCATGTTTTGAGGTATTTTCCTAATATCAATGAATATACTAGAAATGCAATTGCTTTTCCGCACATCTATTAAAATAGGAATTCATTTGCTTTAGGATTCGTATTGTGGCAGCATCGTAAGAAGCTAGGAAAATTCCTGGGCAAGTAGAATAGGGAAACTGACACAAGAAAATTAAACAAGGCCAAACAACCAGCTTGTGAATCACAAGACCTTAACTTCCCCAACCAAGGACACCTGAAAGCTTATGGGTTCTACCTCCCTGTCCTAACCAGAGAACACATAGCTTAAATAACCCTGGTCAGGCAGATAGAGGACAAAGACCCAGTCGATGCCATCTGTATCAGCTAAACCCAAGGACAAATGAAGTCAGGGGAACAAATAACAACAACCCCATTAAAGCTAGGCAGACCCAAAATAAAACAGACCAAAGAATAATCCCAAACTTCAATATACAGTCATTTTGATGGATCAGCATATTAAAAATGTACATGGAAAGATGTTGAATATTCTGCTGAAACACTCCCCTAAGATTCTCACCTGCAGCAAAAAAGATTTTAAAAAGACAAAGACCCAGTGTGGGCTCACTCGAAAGTATGCCCATGCCCCTTCTCTGGCATGAACTTTTTACTTCCCCCTAAACTCCAAGGTTCCCCACAAGACTTGCAACCAGGGGAGTTTACCCCCTGATCCCATCTGAAGGCCTTCTTTTCTCTGACTTCCCAGTAGGTGAAGGCAGCCCCGCCTTGGCTCACTTCTCTTCTATAATGTTTCTAGACAGCCTTTCTCCTGTTGCTTCTGCTACCCTAACCCCTTCCTTTGTTTCGCTGTCCCCAGCTTTAATAAACATCTTCTCAAAATCACGTAGACTCATATTGTGAAATCTTTCCTGCACAAAGTCAAGAACCCACACACTACCGGCCAGCCTCAGACGCAGAACCACTCCGGGCCTGTCCCTATCCGTAACCATATGACCTTTTAATTGTCAAACTTCTCTAGAGATAGGAACATACAAATGGTGACCAAAAAAAATGGAAAAAGCACCTGAAACACCCATCTCCCATCTTTTGGTTCTCTTGCCTAAAGAGAAACAAAATTCCATTAATTACAGAATTTTCTTGCCTTACATTGTGTCTCTCAATTAACTTACCTATTAAAAGCCGAGGCGCTAAGGTAAGCTAGAAAAGAACTGTAATATTCAATGGAGAAAAAATATCCAAAGAAAAGAAACCTAATGTCGGAATCCAAATATAGCAGGCTGCTTCCCTAGAATTCAAAAGAAAAGGCCACGTTAAGAAAATGAACGTCAGTGTGAAGGGAAAGGAAAAGGGGCTCCGTAATAAATCTGACAAAGCTCAGCGAGGGACTCGCCTCACAGGGCGATCTGATCACAGATTCCTAACTACGCAGGTCAGGAGGGTCATCCAGCCTCTGGCCTCATATCCCGACCACAATGCTTATTTACCTTAAGCAAGCCCAGTCCATTGTTCTAAACACACCTTTGAAATTCGAGAAAGTCGTCTGTCTTCTTCAGGCCCCTGGGCCTTAACAAACCTCAAAGGAGCACATAATTTTGATCAGTGTCCTTTAACCCAGCCCTGGCCTTGCCATCTTTCACCTTCATCTAATCTTCTATGTTTCCTCTTTAACTCGAAAGGTTTTAAAAGAACTGCAAACTGAAAATGTTCTCAGGCGCATTTCTCAGTCATTTTGTTAACAGAACAGAGATCTGGCTTTGAGCAGGTCTGCACAGGGCTGGCTGGTACTGTGTGTGGGTTCTTGACTTTGTGCAGAAAAGATTTCACATTATGAGTCCAGGTGATTTATAAAGAATGTTTATTAAAGTGTTTTGTTAACAGCTATACCGCCGTCCATAAAACAGTGTTTAACACCTAATAGGTATTAAATATTTTCCAATAAAGAGGACATTTATTAGAGCCAGAGACAGTGAAACAAGGAAGAGCCTAGGAAAGAAGGAACAGGAGAGGGACTAGGTGGGGAAATGAGCCTAGGCCGGCTGCTTTGGCTCACTAAGTCAGAGAAAAGGGGGCCTTGGGTCAGATGATTAGCCGGGGACCAGCTGCCTGACACCCTTAGAGTTTGGGAGAAGGGGGAAGGGACAGGCCTGGACATGTGTGCTCCTGGGAGGGAGCACTGCATGCTAGGTCCTTGGTGTTTAAAGGCTGGGAGTTTGGGGGACGTCTTAGTGGAGGATCAAGAGACTATTCATCATCTTTATGTTGGTGCGCCAAAATGAGATGTGTTCCCTTAACTTCATCTGTCCCTGGACGTCTGCTGTCTGTCTCCCTGAGCAGGGAGTGATTTAAGCTATTTATCCTCCGGATGGGGAGAACTGAAAACCATTTACTCTCGTGTCCTTGGTTTAGGGAAGACAGGATTTACTAGATGACTACAAACTGCTTAACTATCTGTCTCAGTTTCCCTATTCTGTTTGCCCTGGCTTACTAGCCTGTCTTATTTTGAGATCTTGCTTCAAGGCCTATCCTGTACTTAGACCAAATAAATTCGAATAAACTCCTTTTAAATTTTCCTACAAATTTGGGCTTTTTTATGTCAACACCAGATTTGGAGCTTAGACAAACCCAGTTGAGAGAAAACCCCTACCTAGCATTGGTCTGTCTGTGGGAAGGGGGGGTGGGGGGGAGATACCTGAGCAGCCCCAGGACTGAACTCTCAGAGCTCCATACACCCTCCCCTCTTGTAAACATGGAACTGCTCCCACCCTCAGGCATCCATTCTCACAGTGAAGAAACTCAAAGCCTGATTTAGTTTAAGGTTCTAACCCAAATGGCCCCCAGTTTCATGAACCATTTGTCCATGGGATAAAACACCCACTTTCTCAGTGTATACAAACTATAATCTGAATGCAAAACAACAAAATCTAAAAGTGCCTAAGCCTAAAAAGCCATAACTACAACCTCAGAAAGGGCATAATTACCGCCACCCTACCCCAACCCTCCCTGTGGTGCTCCCCATCCCCACCCCGCCTCACACCCCCAGCTTTCCAGGGCTTCCTGGCTTTTCTCAAGAATCTAACTTGAACAATTCCACTTTGCAAGACTAAGCCCTGGAATTATATATTAAAACTCCGAGAATAACACACACATCAGAAACTTACTATGCATGCTCTACAAAAACAGAATGTAATACTGCAATATTTTATGTTTTCTGAGTTCACAACCTTCCTGCCTGTTTGGAACTATTTTATACTGTCTTCCAAGCTCTAGTAATTAAATGCATTTTTACTCTTGTTGAAAACAAATGATACTTAAATTAATAAATGTTTTCAAGTGACAAACCCAGGGGAGGAGCAGTAATGCCAAGAGAGAACAACCAGGAAACAACCATGACGTCCCTCCCATAGGACGTCTGGGCCCAGGAAAGAGGTTGGGGAAAGACCAAGGAGGAGTTCATCGATGTCTTCCAGGTGGTTACTGTCGGCTTTCCCCTCAGGTAAAATAGCCACAACCAATAGAAATCGTTACACACACACACACACACACACACACACAATTTGCTTCACCCTTCTCCTAAACACACACACACACTATTTTTGGAAAAGTCAAACTGTGACTGCAAGACCGACACTTGGCTTTAGGAATTTACTAGTAAGGATGGATTTGGAAATTTAGAGACGTATACCGCTCCTAGGAAGAGCCACTCGGGGGAACAGGATCTTGGATTTGAGAACTGCTTTCCAAACAGTTCGAAAACTCAGGAAAAAACGGAACCCCAGAGGTTACAGGAGGACCACGGGAAAAGTCAAACTGTGACTGCAAGACCGACACTTGGCTTTAGGAATTTACTAGTAAGGATGGATTTGGAAATTTAGAGACGTATACCGCTCCTAGGAAGAGCCACTCGGGGGAACAGGATCTTGGATTTGAGAACTGCTTTCCAAACAGTTCGAAAACTCAGGAAAAAACGGAACCCCAGAGGTTACAGGAGGACCACGGCTCCTCCCACTCGTGAATCCGGGAAGCCAGGGCGGAGCTGCGCCCAGCGCGGTCTCGCGTCCGCAGACTTCAGACTTGACCCCGGGGGAGACGGGTCTTGCCCCGGATGGTTCCAGGGGCCCCTGGTCCCCGTCTCGGACTCCCGGCCACGCACACTCACCATTTCCCAGCTTCTGGGGTCCCCTCGCGCGGTCCTTTCCGCTCCCGCGGCGGGTGCAACTCACAGCGGGACCGACGCCGCAGCAGAGATACCTGCCCCGTTCAGCGCAGGTGAGACTCAACCCCGGTCAGCCACGCAGGCCCCCGGGTTTGCTGAGAGCGGCCCCGCCCACCTGCCCCGCGCCGCCTCTGATAGGGCAGTTCGCGAGGACCCGCCTCCCTCCCTCCTGAATGACAACCGAGGGAACAGTTCAGGTGGTTGAGCAGAACCAGCTTCCGCTGGTGGGCGGGACCACCCTCCAGGGACGTTTGCCTTTTTTTTTTTAACGCAACAAACAAACTTATTTAACAAGAGTAAAAGGTAAAGTCAAACAGGCACTAATATTAGGAGAAAAAGCAACTAGAAGAAATTTTATGTTAAACACCTTACAGTAACCTGCTCCCAATTGCGTTTAACTGATCTGTTGCTGTGACGACACAGCTCATGCCCATGAATGGATGAACGATTTGAACACTTTTTCAAATATCCACTGAATACTAGCATATGTACATATATATTAAATTGGGGGAGGGGGGATGTAATTGACGGTCCCCCGATATACTTTGGGGAGAGGTCGTCTAGAGGGAAAAAATACGTGCTTCTGGCTCCTGAATCGCGTTATGAACCCAGCCTAGACTCTGCTGGACGCCAAGTGTCTTCAGACATCAGCGGGTTTGGAAAACCTGTTTGGAAAAGTTCTCCGGGTGACATGGCATCCCTGTGTTCATTGTGCTCGTGGAAGTATTGGTCTGTTTGTGCACCGATCTGTTTGTGCACCGTTCTGCTGGCAGGTGGGAGGTGCACGCGGGTGGGGGGC